ATGATTTGAATTTGTATAACTCAATATATGATCAAATTAATGAATATAGTACAAAATAGGAGAATTCACCTAGATGGATAAGATCGATCTCTTCAAAGAAGGGATTGATTGATTTTGCTTACAAAAGTAATTTTTGTGTTAAAAAGGCAAGAAGGGATCGATCACCCCCTTGAAGCAATTGATCTTTTACATAAAAGGATCGATTGGGTCTTGTTTTCCAAGCATGAAATGGGCAGCAAAAGTGAACCAATCGATCCCCTCATGGAAGGGATCAATCAGGTATACATTGGAACAACTCTAATGACTAGTTTCTCATGCTTTTAATGGCAATTTTCTTTTCCCAAGCATCTTTAATGGCTAGTTCTTCAATTCCTCTATAAATTGGGCACTCCAACACACTAAGAAAGTTGATGAATCAAGAGAGTAAGATCAAATAAGCCATATATATTCATTCTCTCAAAGAAATCAAGAGTTTTAGAGCTTTAAAGTCTATATTTTTGTATTTGTTGTATCCAAATCATTGTTGTTGATTCATTCATAGAATTTTTTTTACTTCATTAGGCAAATATTTAGTCTTTAAAAGGTGTTTCTAGTTTGTATTTTTATTAATTGATTTTGTAATCAAGAGGTGTGGTATCCTCTTGAATTTGTGGGTTTGAAATGTTGCTACTTAGCCTAGAAAGTAGAGAGTGTAAGATTTTTATTTTAAATCTTAAAAAGAAAAAGATAAAGTTATAATCTCAATTCAAAAATAGTGGTTTGAAGCCTTGTTATGGATAACCAAGAAGAGAGGACATTGGTGCTTTATGAAAAAAGACCAAACCTCTATAGATCTTTATGTTTGATCTCTTTATCCCTAATTCTTTACCTTGTTTATAGTTTATATTTGCCTTAAGATTATCAATTTATTGTTAATTGCATCATATTTTGATATTGATATTAATTTTTCATTCAATTATTTTGAAATCATTGTTTGCGAAGAACTTGAAGAAATCCAATTCACCCCTTCTTTTGGATCATTATCACACTTAAAAAGCTAACATCTTTTAATGTGAAACACCTTGACATTTTGCCCCATCAATTTCTCTTTCATCTTTTTTTCTTTTTTTTTCTTTTATCATTTTTCAAGAAAAATTTGAGCACAAAAGTGTTTAACCCCTGAAATCATTAAAGATAAACAAGCTTCTTAAAGTTTGCCATAATGTGGGGTGATCTTTGGCTAGGGTCTCTTGAAAGAAAATTTCAATAAGCTCAAATTGGGTAGCAAGAAATAATTTTATTCTTTTTATGAAAGATACAAGAAAAATGACCATTTATCACTTCCAACATGAATACTTTCAATGGACAACATTGATTTACTAAGAACAAACTTGTGAATAAACCATTGTAAAGATCATGTATTGCATCACTTTTAAAAATTTTCACCATATTTATCTTCTTTTATTTAGCAGTCCCAATGAATTAATAATCTCAATTCATCAATCATATTATTATGAATGATATTTTCAAAACTAAATCCTAAATTATTGTCATGATTGTCTTAACATTCATTATTCAAAATCAAAGAATAGATATAGTGAAAAGATGTAAAAACGTGAAAGCATATAATAGTAATTCATACAAAAGAGAAAATGTCATGAAAATGCATCAAATCTGTCACTTTTATTAAAATGATGAAAAATAAGATGAAATCCAAATACATAAAATAGATTCATATTCTCAAGAAATCTTAAGATTATAAATAGTTCCAATCAGCCTCCCTAAAATCATGCCCTTAGACGATTAGGCAATGGGCCTTTATAGATATTTAGCTCTCCTTATTCATTGAAGCTCATCAAGCCTACTTGCATCAAACTTTGCACCTTATGCTTGACAGTAAGGTAGGTTTCTGTGAAGTAACCTATATTCCTATTATGGTAGTCACAAGTGGCATTAACATTATACCATTTGGGATATGGTGGCTTCAATGGTTCAAAAAAGACTAGTGATACTAGGTCATTCTTGACCAATTCTAGAAATAGCTCAGTATAGGTTATAGGGATAAGATCAATGCAAGCTCTCTCTTAATTGCCCTTAGATCTTCTTAAACCACTTGCTTGATTGTTAGGCCTTGAAACTAGTGTAGTAACAAGATTAGGTCTATATATCGATGCTTGAAAAGTTTGTTGATGATGACTTAAAGCAATGTTGTTCATGGTTAGGAAATAAAGCTATTAAGAAACTTATGCAATATTATTGATTGTTAGGTAGTAAGCAAGATGAACATATGGTGGCTAGGGAGCATAACTTATGAATTATTGCCTCTCAAAACTCACTACTTGGGCTTCAACTTCTTTCTTCTTAGGCATCCCACCTTTTTTGGCACTGCCAGCCTCTTCTTCCTCAAAATTTTCATTCTTGATGGTATTTTCAATAATCTCCCTTGAAATCACCATATCAGTAAAATTTTTTGTTACATTCCTTATCATTTTCTCATAATAGGGCAACTTCAAAGTGCTTACAAATAAAATCATCATTTTCTTTTCAATTAAAGGGTGGTTAGACCTGAGTAGCTATATTTCGTCACCTCTATGCATATTCTTTGAATAATATCATCACCTTTTTTTTCATACTCTGCAAAGAAAGGCAATCAAGAGCCATATTTACAATATGAGAGTATTGATTAATGAAAGAACAAGTCAAATCCTTCCTTGATTGAATACGGATCTTGTCCAATTGAACATACCACTTTGTAGCAGAATCGATTAAACTATTTTGAAATACATGCATAAGTAGCTTCTCATTACTGGTGTAGGTTGCCATCTTTCAACAGTACATGGTGATATGAGTTATCGGACACTTAGTATCATCGTACTTTTTTAAACTTCAGAACTTTAAATTTTGAATGAATCATAGCATCTAGGACCAAACAAAGGTTGACAATATCCATGGAGCCATAAAAATCTATTCTTTCAATAGCTCGTAACCTCTTATCAAGTATTTTCATCTTGTCATTAGCTTTCGAATCTTAATTTTTAGAATCCCTTAAAATTTCTCCAAATTAAATTTAACTTTAATTCCTTGATTTGGTTTCTTTTCAACCTTTCTTTAATATCTGAAGAGATCATGTTGAAGTCTTAATTGCCAATATCATCTTTGATTAATGCTCAAATTACTCCACATCAAGTATTTTCATCTTGTAATTAGCTTTCGAATCTTAATTTTTAGAATCCCTTAAAATTTCTCCAAATTAAATTTAACTTTAATTCCTTGATTTGGTTTCTTTTCAACCTTTCTTTAATATATGAAGAGATCATGTTTAAGTCTTAATTGTCAATATCATCTTTGATTAATGCTCAAATTACTCCACATGATTTATGATTTATGATAAAAAAATTAAAATCAAATAAATAAAAGACTAAAATATAAAAAAAAAAGATAAATAAATAAATAAGACAAACATTATATAAAAAAATGTGAAAAATTGAATAATTGAGCGTGAATCGGATCTAAGCTCAAGGCCCGGACTAAATAGGGTGCATACGTTGGGGGAAATACTTACTTTCAATACTTTGTGCAGCAATGACGATGTATCTTGCATAAGTCTCCAAACCCGTTTTGGCAAAAGGGCCAGGTTGAACCATTCCATATTCCTGAAACCGAGACCACCTTCCTTCTTTGCGTTGCAAAACTTGTTCCATGCCACCCAGTGTACTCCACCTTTATCCCTATTTTTCCTCCATCAGTGCAAGCTCATAAGCATGTTTATCTCGTGATATAAGCCTGAGGGAAATAGAAAGCAAGACTTGGTGTAAGCGAACATCGATTGCGATACTGCCTTTGTGAAGACCTCCATTCCCCCAACCGAGATCCATTCATGGCTCTAATTCTCTATTCGTTTGCTCATGCTATCAAGCATCCACCTGAAGGCACGCTTTTGCTTTGTCCAATGGTCATTGGTAATCCCAGGTACTTTTATAGACTTTTGGTGATCTGGATATCAAAATTTTGTTTTATGTCCTGCATTTCGTCTCTAGTGTTTTTACTAAAAAAACAGCCCAGACTTCTCGAAATATATCTTTTGCCCGGACCCATCCTCATAAACCTTTAGCAATCCTCTCACTCTCTCACATTTAGTGAGGGTTGTAGTAATAAATAGCAGATTATCATCCGCAAAGAACAAGTGAGTTATCCTCAGGCCATTGGCACTGGCTCTAACACCCTTTAGTAAGCCTTCTCTCTGGTGTTTGGAAACAAAGGCTGATAATCCTTCTGAGCATTACAGGAATAGGTAGGAAGATAAGGAATCACCTTGTCTCAGTCCCCTTTTAGGAACAATAGTATCAGTCACTGCTCCATTCATAACAATTCTGTAAGATATCATTTCAACACAATGCATTATTGCTAATAACCATTTCTCGCATAAATCCAACCTCCTCATGATAGCTTTGATGAACCCCCATTCTACCCTGTCATATGCTTTACTCATAACCTATTTTATTGCTCCCCAGCATCTTTAAGTCTGAGAGTATGCAACGGTTAATATGCAATGAGAATATTATCTGTAATCTGTCTTCCCGGAACAAAGGCACTTTGATTTTTGCGTATACAAACTGGTAGTACATTTTTCAACCTATTGGCTACAGCTTTGGCCATAATTTTATGCAGAACGCTGCACAGACTTCTCGACCAGAGTTGTGTCAATTTTTTTAGGCTTTTTTGCCTTAGAGATAAGGACAATATTTATGTCATTCACCTCCCTAATATTGTTCCCCTCATTTAGCACAGATAAACAGAATTTAGTTACCTCTAGTCCTGCAATAAACCAGAATGTGTGAAAGAAGCTAGCCGGCTTACCATCAGGGCCTGAAGCCTTGTTTGGATGAATCTAGCTGATAGCCTCGACAATCTCCTCTGGGGTAAATAGTGCCGAAAGCTGTTTGTTCATCTCCAAAGTTATCTTCGGTGAAATTGCTTCTATTATATCCTCCAGGTTTGTGGGCCCATGTGTTTTAAACAACTCAGTGAAATATTTTACAGCTTGAACTGCCACTTTCTTCTCTCCCTCGTGCTTCATCCTTCAAGCCGTTAATTCTATTAGCTCTACTTCTCTGGGTTGCCTGTGCATGAAAAAATTTGGTGTTCTTGTCCCCACTTCTAAGCCAATTCTCCCTCGAACGCTGCATCCAAGTCACCTCTTCATGCTCAAGAAGCTTGTTCAGCATGCGTTTGATATCCAATTCCTTTTCCAACTCGTCTTGGCTGTTGTCTAAGTGGTTTATTTCTTCCAGCTATTTTTGCAGCTCAGCTATGGCAGTGCAGGTACCATGATGCTTACGCTTGCCCACGTCGATAGTTTCATCCCCACCATTTCCAGTTTCTGCCCGAGCTCCACATCTCTATTTCCTTCCCACATCTCTTCAATCAGTGTTCTGCTTTCAGGATCTTTTAACTAAGCTGCCACAACAAAACATCGGTTCCTCCATTTTTTTCTATTGGTCATTCTTTACCTTCCCCATTGTATCTACCATTCTGGGACAGTAGTCTGACACTAGGCTTGCAAGGTGCCGCACTAAATAGTTGGGAAGCATCTTCCCCCAATCGCTGCATGCCACGGCCCAGTCAAGTCTTTCCCCGATAGCATTCTCCGCATTTTGCCCACACTTCAATGTAAATTTTGGAACTGTATATCCCAAATCATAAAAACCTAACTCTATTAATGTGTTTCTAAAAGCCCTCATTTGCCCCTCCAGTCTTGCATTCCCTCCTTCTTTTTCATTAACCCACAGGATTTCATTGAAGCCCCTAAGACAAATCCATGGCAGAGAGTTGTTTGATGCTAGTCTCCATAACATACTCCATGCTTGGTGTCTTTCTCTCGCATCCGGTTCTCTATAAAACTCGATTAACCTCCACATCTTCCCTTCTTGATATGTCATTCTCATGTCAATATTATACCTTGAGAAACTCAGCAAGTCTAATCTCACTTCTTCCTTCCATAACATCCCTAGATCACCATTCCTTCCATTCGCATCCACTCCAAACATACCTTGCATTTTACATTTTATTTTTATTCTCTCTAGTCGGCTAGTGTTTATGATAGTTTCACACAAGAAGACTACTTCATGCTCTTCTCTCTTCAATAAATCTTGACGAGCACGAACTGCCCGTGGGTTTCCAAGCCCACGGCAAGTCCAAGCTGTACACTTCATTGGTCTCCACGAGACTAGTCACCAGTCTCGCCTGTTTGCTCAACACAGATATTAGTAGTTTCCTTCACCATCGTCTTGCTTCTTTTTTCTACCACATCAATTTCTTTGTCAGTACCCTCATTACAGGTCTGCTTTCTCTTCCCTGGTTCTAGTCTTATTACCTCTACTTTTCCTCTTCGTTCTCCGGCCAGCTTTTTTCATTTTTTCTTTCGCTTTTCTATCCTTATCCCGTTATTGTTTCCTGGGTCCCCTCCTGGTAGGCTTTCTGTCCCAACCAGTATCACACATTCCTGATCACGGTCCACCACCTTTGTGTTTTCTGCTCGAGCCCCACTTATTTCTTCAAGTCTCGTGGCCGGTTCTGTTTGGGTATCTTTCCGCATGGTCCTCATAATCTTATCATATCGGCACGTCGTTCCCAAGCATTGTTTCCTTCCTTTCCTTAAAGTTTCCCGCTCCTTATCACCCTGCGCCTATTTCCAGATTAGATTCCCTTCCTCCTGGGCCCCCCTATTTTTTAATTCCCTCTATTGTCGATAGTTGACTCCTCTCTCACTCCAACTGCCGTGATTTTCGTTGAATCCTTCCTGAAATCTTGCCATCTATCCTCCTCCTTTCACGTTTGCCAATATGAGATGGTAACGACAAAATAATAAATAAAATAAATAACTTATTACCCTCATCGTATGAGAAAAAAGTATTGGGATTAAAGCATTTTGACTAATAATTTTTCCTGTTAAGATAATGACAAAGTTCGTATTCTCAGCCTAGAAATGTTAATTCCAAGTCAACTGTAATTCGTATTTTCGTCGAACGAACGTACACTATTTTTTTTTTAATTCTTAAAGCTCTGCTTTTGCCAGGTTGCCGTAAATCCGTCGGCAAAACGAAACGAATCCGGTCCTCCTCCATCCTCGTCACCAACGAAACGAAAGTCAATTTTAAAGCTAATCCAAAATTTCCCCAAAAACCAAACGGATCTTTCTCCCTCAATATCCAACTCAAAACCCCGATGGCTCCCAAATTTTAGTGCAATTTTCAAGTTTCTCTCTTTCTCGAACCTCAATCCCAACCCAGTTTTTTCCCATGTCCCGATTCTTTTATCGTTATTTTTCTGTGTTTTAGCGTTGATTTTGGACGGTGTTCTTCTAAAGTTTTTTACCGCAATTACAGTTGTTGACAAGTTACTACTTATTTTCATGTGATTAATTGTCCCTTTGTTGATGTCTTTTGAGTTAAATTACATTTTCTTTCAGTTGGTTTAGAGTGTGAAATAATGACTTGTTTTTTCTTCCTAATATTACAATGCTAATTATGGGTTATGGAATTTATTTAAGGTTATTCATATTTGTTTAGTAGACTATGGTTATTGATGTTGTAATAAGTTTTAGCAGCTTTAAGCAGTTTGTATAAACTTGAAATCTTTTTATTTTCCTTATTAGACTTCAAATCCCAAATTGAAAATTTGGTTGGTATCTCTTCTCTTGAGTCTCCAACATAAGGGTGATTGTTCAATTTGTTTTACATACTATGGTTAAATTTGGAGTGTTGATTTTCGTTTTGAACTATAAAAAATGTTCTTTTACGGACATCTGAAGCGAACAGCTGGACCTGTATGGATCTTTATGTTTTTGCAACTCCTGGGAGGGTTACTTTGGATTACTACTTTTCTGCTCGAGTGCACACATTGAAATTTGATTCTTGGGAAGACACTGCTGAGTTGGAATATGTATGTTTGATTAATTTTATGTCATTGAATATCATTGATAACATGTTTACTGCATGTAAATGACATTTCTGATTCATTTTTGAGCAGGTAAAGCGGAATGGGATCTCTGTATTTCTAATGCCATCTGGAATGATTGGCACATTGCTTTCTTTAGTAGATGTACTGCCTCTGTTTTCTAATAGTATCTGGGGTCAGAATGGCAACCTTGCTTTTATGAAAACACGCATGGGTGCTTCATTTGAAAAACGTCCTTAGCCATGGCGTGCAATAATAAATCCAGAAGATGTGCATTCTGGTGACTTTTTGGCAGTGTCAAAGATCCGTGGTTGGTGGAGGGGATTTGAGACGTTAGAAAAATGGGTGACTGGAGCGTTTGCTGGTCATACTGCTGTTTGCTTGAAGGATGACATGGATAATCTATGGGTTGCTGAATCAGGACATCGAAACGAAAAAGCGTGCTATAAATAACACGTGGATTGCAGATTGTATATTTATTTATCTATTTGTTTCTCTTTGCTTCTTTTCCTCTTCATTAGTCTTACGATTTCCAGTGAGAGGAAAATTTAAAGGAGTTCAAATGCTGTCCAGGATTCGCTAACTTTTGGTTTTGACACCTTATCTAGTTGATGTATGATGTATCATCACCCTTTAACTATTATCAGATGTTGATCTCACTGTATCAAGTTGACTTCAACATTATTGCTGTGCTCCCTCCTCTTCCTCTTCCTCTGGTTGGGTTGAGGGGTATGCAGCAGGGGAGTGTCTTCAATTAGAATGAGTGAGGTCGTGAAATTTTAGTATGATTTGGTAGCTACTTTTGCCCAGGAAAGAAAATTTATGAAGATACGAAATTCACAAATTAAAAATTGGGATTTTTAATAGAGATTATGGTAGCTATGTTATTGAGATATTTTATTTAGGGCTTTCTTCCTTATGCCATTTGCTTGCATGAATTTTGCAGGGCAAAGAAATTACAGTGCTTATTCCATGGGATGAATGGTAGGAGCTGTCACCGAATGACAGTTTTAATCCGCAGATAGCCTTGCTTCCTTTACATCCAGATATACATGCAAAGTTCAACTCCACCGCAGCTTGGCAGTATGCTTGGAGCATGTCAGGCAAGCCATATGGTTACCACAACGTGATATTTAGTTGGATAGACACTGTAGCTGACAACTATCCCCCACCTCTTGATGCTCACTTGGTAGGCATCTTCTCTGATCAATCTGTGCATCTTGAGTATGCTCTACTGAAGTTGTGTTCAGGATCAGCAGATGGTTTTACTGGCAAATTATTGAGATACTGAGCTTGCTAAATGAAGGTCATTTCCCAAGTCCTAACTTGACGATTTTGATTGGCGGTCATTTCTGTCATGTTTATGTGGACTAGAGTGCGGCCAGCATATGCTGCAAAATTGTGGAATGAAGCGCTAAATAAGCGGCTACGGACTGAGGTATTGTGCTTATTCCCGTGTTACTTTTATAAATCTATAACTGTTACTTTATGAGAAATAGTGAATCCCCCTTCTTCCCGCTCTCTCTCTCTCTCTCTCTCTCTCTAATAGATGATTTTGGACTTTCACCAATTCAGGATCATGGGAAGATATAGGTTAATTAGGTAATCTGTTATGGTGGAGTTGTTTGGATTAGGTGAGACTTTGCGTGAGCTGAAGAAGAATTTGTTATTTTGAACTCTACCTATTTTCGTAGGATTTGGATTTGTACGGAATTTTAGAGGAGACTGGAAGGCGTGGCATAGCCTTTGATCAATTAATTTCCATCCCAGAACAAGATGAATGGGTATACAGTGATGGAAAGTTAAGAACATGTGTTTCCTTTGTTCTTGAGATGTATAAAGAGGCTGGGTTCTTTGGTCCTATTTCTAACTCAATTCAAGCAACAGAATTCACTGTAAGTATCAATACTTTTGTCTTCCTTTTAATTTCAATATTGTTTTGACTTGATCTTATAGGGAATGGCATGACTTTTTATTTACAGATTCGTGATGTCTACAAGCTTAAAAGTTTTGAGAACTACCAAATACGGCTGCCTAGTTGGTGCAACAACGAGAATGACCGGCCTCCATTCTGTCAGATTCTTGGTGAGTATTGGTTGGAATTGCCACATTGTAACACCTTAGAGCCATATGTCAACATGAACGAAAATTGCCCATCCTTGGCTCCAAATCATGATAGGCCCACGAGATGTTAAGTTTGATTGCAATCTGTTAGTAGACTAGTGCTCCCACTCACGTTTGTATTAAATGATAAGACGCCTTTCTCGAAATGTTGTACAACTTTACTAGCTCTATTTATGCTTCCAGATTCCTGCTAGATATACTCAATTTCTGTAAATGGTATTTTCAATGTTACTAAAGTCAACAACATTTATGTACTAGTTTTGTTGCATTATTTATTCGTGATCACAAACATCTGAATTAGTGCTTTTGGAATTATTGCAAGCGAGCTGGAACTCGTAACAGTGGCAAGCTTTTTGATCACGTTGTTCATTTTACGTTAGACATTGTTTAGTGTTCAATTGAGGAGATCTGGCAACATAGTTATTAATTTTGTTTTAGTATAGGTCATGCTTTAATTATATTAAAATATGATAAATTTATAAATAATTTTTTATATTAAATTTGATATTAAATAATATTGATTATTTTTATTAGTTTTAATTTATTTTGATGAATTTTAGTGAAATAAAATATTTCGATTGATATGTGAATGTGAAATATATCATTTAATTTTTATTTTTATTTTGTTATTTAATTATTTTTAATTTAATAAAAATAAAATTAATTGACAAAATAACCTTTAAAATTGAGTTTCTTTATTTTTTATTTTAATTTTTTTATATTTTATTTTTTCAAATCAAAATTTACAAGTGTTTAAATTTTTTTTCAAGAAAACAATTATATTCCTTTTATAAAATTTAATAATCATTAAACTTTAGTTAATTTTTTTTTATCTCTTTATTCTTAATATTTATATAAAAAATACTTATTTAAATATCATGTGATCAGATTAAGTATTTAAAAATATCGTAAAAAATTTATGATATTATTTCTTATATTTTTAAGCTTAGTTATTTAATTTTTAAATACATTACAT